AATAAGATTTTAAAATGAGAGGCAGAAACTTACGTTTAAATTGAAGTCAGATGCATAGTCGAGGCAGATAAATGACATGCTTGAATTGCAAGTATGTTTCCGGCATATGATCGACTATTAATAACTTTGACGGCAGCAACTGCAAACACCAACATGTTGTTAGCAGTAATATAATCAATTTGCTTTAAAACTAATATACAATTTAAAAAAAAAACAAATGATCGCAGTTAAGCATACCTAATGAAGTCGTCAACTATTGTTTTTGAAGTTTATTTACAATATGGTTTAGCAAAGACAGAAGCATCAGAACCAAAATTTTGCAAAAAGGTATCAGATATCCTTTCATTCTCCAAGTAAATTACGGAAAACCTCTTTGTAAACCACATTTATTGCTTCCTTTGAAATTTCTCCATCATCGTCATAAACCAAAATCTTTAATCCCTTTCTTTTTGTAACCCGTGATAGAGCAACGTAAAGCTGGCCATGTGTGAAGATCGATTTTTTCAAATATAACCCAACATGCGATAAATATTGTCCTTGACTTTTGTTTATCGTCATTGCAAATGATACAACTATTGGAAATTGTCTTCGTTGGAACTTAAAAGGTATTCTTGCATCAGATGGAGTTAATGACATTCTCGGAATGAAGACCTTTTGTCCAGCCATATTTCTCGATAAAATTTTTGCTTCAATAACCCGATTTCCCAGTCTAGTGATGATTAATCTTGTTCCATTACATAGCCCTGAAGATGGGTCTATATTTCTCAATAACATCACTGGGACACCAACCTTCAAAGTGATAACATGATTTGGAATTCCAGAACACTTAATAGTGTTTAGAAATTCAGGTGTATGTACGTGTTCCAAACCTGTAAAAGCATCGTTTGACATGCAAATTGTATCGGAACTAAAAAAAGTTTTTGGTTGACTATTGTTTACCGAAACCATGTATTCATTGATTGATTCAACCATGTCAAGAGTGGGAGCAAGAATTCCTCTTTGTTGCAGGTATGTTATATCACTGCAATGACTTAAAAAATCCGGATATGTACTTTTCACAATCGCACAAATTGGATCGTCACAATTATTGATGATAAGATCATCAGGGATGTGAACTTTATCGATACCATCAACAGAATTTCCAATCATACCATCACCTATTGCTAAAATCCAATCAGAAAATTGTCTTAGCTCATTAAAATGTGAATCCACCTGATTTCCTTCCAACCTCATATTTTTTGTTAGCTTTAAGTCTTGACAGTGATTCCACAAATATGAAGAATTAAGGGTAGCATTAACAATATCTTGTCTAGTACCTTTTGGAATGACTGGAAGTATTTGTCTAAAGTCACCACCAAGAACAACAGTTTTTCCTCCAAATGGACGATCTAAATTGGATGGATCTTTAATATCTCTTAGAGTTCTGTCTAGAGCTTCAAAACAATATCTATGCATCATCGGTGCTTCATCCCAAATAATTAACTTTGTCTTCACAATTAATTTTGATAAAGGAGTACCTTGTTTGATATTACATGTTGAATCTTCAGTTGCATTGAGTGGGATTGCAAATCTAGAATGAGCTGTCCGACCTCCTGGTAACAAAAGAGAGCAATTCCACTTGATGCAACTGTTAACACAATATCTCCTTTACATCTGATGGCAGATGACAAAGTCCTCCAAATAAATGTCTTCCCGGTTCCTCCATGACCATATAAAAAGAAAAATCCACCTTTATCCTCATGAACTGATTTGATAATTCTGTCATAGACTAACTTTTGCTCACTTGTCAATTTAACCAATAATTGTTCATATTCCTTAGACAAAGAGCACCTATTATAACGCAGTTCTTCACATATTAGTCTATTGGTGTTGTCAACTTCTTCTTCATTGAAAACCGGTCTTGGCATTGTTGGAAATCGTATAAAGTTCTTCCGCAACCTTTCAACAAATTTTTCAACTTTTGTAGACAACAATTCTTTAGTTCATCGTTTGTTATCTCAGCCTCTAAAAAAATAAAAGTATATAATTAATTAATTAATCATAACAATATATAGTTGGCATAAGTCATATAAAGATAAGAGCAAAATGATTTCTTAGAAATAGCAAAAGCAAATTAATGTTACTTTACTTCATTGGAAGGATACCTAGATTATGTTAGCTCATAAGTTGCAAGCGTAAATGTAAATCGTATAATAGAGTAACATTTAATTTTGCATGAAAAAAAATGTAAAAATATTTTAACAATTTTATACTATTGAAATGTTAAGAAGAAAGTCGAATTGTATACCTGGATTATCCAATATTCTTCTTTCTTCATGTAAAATATCATCTGATAATAAAATCCATGTTGCCTCCCAAACACATTCTGGTCGTGACATTGAATTGGATAATAGTAACATACCAAATAATTGCCTTAGATATGATGGCATTCCCCAATTACTTTCCTCCTTTATGGCATCTACATACTCTTTGTCATCATCTAATAAACCAAGTGCATAACATGCATCTCTAAAAGTTAAATGGTCTTGATTGTTGATTCTGCGTAAATCCTCATAACACTTAGGTCCTTTAATGACATTCAACAACATTCGAAGGTAATATTGCTCTCCACTTCCAGGGGGTACAAAGAATATTCTCCCTATTGAAAATACAGAATTTCTTCTTTTTTCCCACTTTTTTAGTTTTTTATTCCACACAAACTTAAGAGGAAATTCTGCATAAGTTAATTCTCTTGCTTCTTCATATGTATTATTTGCCTCAAACCAGCTTAAAAACTTTGATTCCTTTACACTTGGTCTATTGGCAACATCATCAATTGGATCATCATCAGAGAAAATAACTGTTTGTTCATTTGGTAGATGAAAGGAAAGTCTTTCTACTGAAGGTTCTCTATGCTGAATTGGAAATTTAAAAATTCTCCAAGAAGCTTCACACGGTGATATGTATCGACAATCATAATACATTTTTATTTCATCAATAGCCGATGAGTCTTCCTCATGCACACTTTGAGAAAAAGCTGCTGTCACACGATCATGACCCTTATTAACGTACTTAAATAAGTACTTGATTGACCGAGATTGATTGCACCATTCAACATTTATATGTGCACCATACTTCAACAATAAATATCTATTGTGTGGCACCACGTACCTGTTATCCAATTCAATTCCTTCTTTCTGGATAGTTCTACCATTGTCCTTTCTTTTATATACAGGATATCCATCTTCATCGATTGTGGTATTTTCTACAAACTTCTTTGGAAAGTGTTTTGTACATCTACCATTACGCATGCAAGGAGAGGATTTTCTAGCAGAACCGCACGGGCCATGCATCATAAAATTCTTCACGGCCATATAATAATACGGATCGACCGACTCATCTGGTATTTCTGCTGAAATTATTTGATCTATATCTCCAATATTTGGATATTTATTATAAAGAAAGAGCAATATGTGTGCATGAGGCGACCCACGCTTTTGGAATTCTATAGTATATATCACTGCAAAAAATAATAATTTGCAATTGGGGTAATTAGTTGTAATTTATATATAAGGCAAAATGCTTTATTAAATTATATTACAAATATGATAAGAATTTATTAAAATAGATTAAATATATACCTGATTTAACTGATCCAAAAATTTGTTTCTCTTTCAAATCCTTTATTAAACGATCCAATTTGATTTTGAACACCCTAGATAAAATGTCTGGGCGATCTTCTGGTTGCAAGCCCTTGCTTTTTACAAATCTACTTATTTCAGGCCACTTTGGGTTGCAAGTAAACGTGATGAATAGATTTGGATATCCAGCCCACTTGCAGATTGCCATAGCGTCTTGATAATTTTGAATCATGTATCTTGCACCCCCTGTGAAGCTAGATGAAAGAATTACTCTTTTACCTTGAGAAGAAGGATTTATCTCTCCATGTAAAACTGCATCTTCTAATCCTTTATACATATGAGCTCGCAATTGTTTTTGATGAGTTCTCATATACTTCAACCTAGAGGATTCAACCATTGTAAATCCATCGACCAAGAATTGTTGAAATAATCGTCTTGAGTTCACAATTGTTGGTAATTCGCCATTCCTTTCTTGAATTTTGTATGCGAAATATTCACGCATGCTAACAAAATTCCTTCCTCCACTTGATTCGTCATTTCCATTTAAAGGAATGTCTTCCCTATAACCATCTTCACCTAACCTAATGGAAACAATAAAGGATACTGAAGACCTAAATAGGCAGCATTCAACTCATTTATCCTTTGTAGATGTCCAGACTGTGTTTCAACGATGATGTCTCGGTCACATCCAGAGACATCAAAATCTCCCACTACCAAAGCAGCAACTCTGAAATTGTTGGTAAGTGTATCTTCTTCCATCAATAGTTACGTTTTCTATCAATCTTAGTCTAACATTGGACTGACTATCTTCCTGAAATTGTCTCTCGCCATTCTAAATGACTTGTCAAAACATTCTGCTCATGAAGCATTTGTTTAGATCTTGAACAATTTCAGCATGAAGTTGGTTTATTTCTATCACCACGACTGCATAAACATAGGTTTTGTAAATTTGGTCTAACTTATGTATTTGTTAGATTATTCATGCATATATAAATTTGTAATAATTAAATACTAACCTTAGTGCATGGATTCTATTCGAACCTTCGTTTTCTGTCGTATATATATAATTGGGCAAACTTGGGAGTGGATCCTTCAGGAGGCAATAAACTCCCGATTTGATGATAGTTTTGTCCAGATAATTTGAATGTTCTTGCCCCTTTGTTTGGTTGACAGAAGCATCAACTTTTCCTCCATTGAGGTAAATTGAAAACATTGAGTTATAACTTCTAATATATATCTCTGAAATGCTTACTTTTTGACCTAATAACATTATTTGTGGTGAATAAAATTATTCTATATTGAAGATACTATTGAAGTATGGTAAAAGTAGATTTTATTGTTACCTGATCCGAATAATAATTGTTTTAACAATGGGAGGTTCTTTTGGCTTTGGTAAGACTATCTTTCCATGATTACAACACAAAGAGAACTCTGGTTTTTTTGCTTTGATTTTCTTGTTGATTCTTTCTTCGTACCAGAAGTAAGCACCACAATGTTCACATTCATATGTAGGATCGCCTATATCCCAATACTCTATGAATAAAATAAGCAAATGTAAGATTAACGTAAAGGCGTGGTAAGCCTAGTTATTGTATATACATATTTTTAAAAAAAATATGCATACCTTCATTGTCAATATTTCCATATCCAACATCAGGATCTAAATAGTATTAAAATCATATTATATTAGCTATGAAAATTGAAAAGGGGGACATGAATGAATCATTGTTTGGGTTAAGATACACATACCTTCATAGTCTTCTTCATCTTCAGTTGCATCATTAATTTCTTCGATTTTTTCCACGTATTATTACGTAAAGTAATTAATCACGATACCATTAATTTAAATATTAGTATAAAATTACTTTATTTGTGTAAATTAATAGCAAAATAATTTATTTATGAAGAACATACCTTCTACATCCCCATCAATATTGACATCGTCAAGTTCTAATAATAAATCATAATAAAATGTTGTTAGTATAAATAAACGGTTCATGTTATATTACAATTTTTATTTATAATAACAACCTGGCAGTAGGGGTAACTCATTTAAATCAGGTAGAAGAAAATTTGTCTCCACATTTGAAGTTGACAAACCAAATTGAGAATGTTGCTGGCGAGGTAAATTTGGATATTGTGACTGAGATTGAGACGATGAAGCGTGTGCACATCTCTCTAAAGGTTTAAATTTAATCGTGGGAAATGTTGACGGTTTGTTATGTCTTTTAAAGGTTGTGTTGCCTTTTCTTTTCCAAATCCATCTCCTGTGATAGTAGCAGGACAAATAAACTCTATAAACCATAAAACATACAACTTATCTAAGTTTAAAAAACTGGAAATAAATATAACAAATATGATATTAGAGCAACATTGGGTACTACATCAATGTACAAAGACAGATGATAAGAAAAAAGAAGAAAAACGGATGCGTACACTAAACAATCATCATTTCCTATTCGATAATACATTTTAAAATCTCATCAACAAATTTAAAAAATAATCTACATGATGGATCGCTACCTTCCTTGAATGCATAGAGAAACTGATCACATGTTCCAAACACTGAAGGTATACAAAACATAACAATACTAACCAATACATTTAATATACAACGCGATGTGCACAATTTCAGGTTTAAATTAGTGTGAGGACTTTACTGTGACACAAACGATATTAGCTAAAGGAAAATCATATATAACATAATACTACTTACGACTTATGTCGTATTTGGAACCCTTGAATACATATTTTTTAAGTATCATTATAATTTCTCTACAACAGAAAGCTATCCTAATTGCAAAAGATAATTGTGAAAGCAAATAAGCATGAGAAACAACAGAAAGCTATCCTAATTGCAAAAGATAATTGTGAAAGCAAATAAGCATGAGAAACAATATTTGTCGTGTATGTGTATATATCGAAGAAGCAATCTACAACAGAAAAGTATCCTAATTGACGTTTATGCTTATATATCGAAGAAGCAAGACAATGACTCATTACAAGCTTAAGTATTACATGATGGATCGCCAGCTTCGTTGATTGCATAGAGAAACTGATCCCATGATTCAAACAGTGAAGGTATACAATAGATAACAATACTAACCAATAAAGGTAATATACAACGCGATGCACACAATTTAATGTTTATCTGATTCTGAGGATTTTACTGGGAATGAAAAGCAGTTATCCCAACGAAAATCATATACAAAAGATTAGTAGTTAGGAGATATGGCGTATTTGAACCATTGAACACAGATTTTTGAAGAAGCAGTAAAGCAAATCGTGAAAAAACAGGATATAAGTTCATACCATTATCGGCTGAAATATTTTTCTGGCGTTTCTGCTTCCGCATGTTGATCCTATTATGTCTAGCGAGTTTCTTCTCTTCCTCCATGTGAAATTGTGTTCAAACTGTCGTAGGGGGGCTGAGAAGTTGTAAAGTCATGTGTAAAAGTTTAGTTGAGGAAACAGGGGCCTAAAATCCGCCTATTTTCATGTATATGGTTTTGCATCTTTTTCGCTTTTAATGGTAACTTTTTAATTCATTCTAATATTTTTAATTAACTATATAATTACTAATAATCACAGTATATTATTACTCCAAATTGATAATTACACTTCTGCTTTATCCAATATACTTAGCAGTTATTTTTGGTATTACGTGTATTACATAGTGTTTTCAAATAAATTGCGTTTAAACATGTGATAATACACTAAATTATTTTTATATTAATTGATATTTACCAATTCTGTTGTTGTTTACACTGTTGCTCAAATATTATACGGTCGCATTGGCAGGAATTTTTTTAGTTCTATCCTTCATCATTAACAGGATACGAACGTGAGGGTACTTTTAAACTATTAATGAAAAATTGAAACTAAGTTTGTCCTTTCATTAAAAATAAGAGCAACTATGAGATAATTTGGTAGAAAGGATATATATATACAGAAATTTGCGAGCAGACGCAAAGACAAAACTGTTATAAAGTGGAGAAAAAAATAGTAATAATTTAAATGCTTCAAAAATAGAGGTTAAGCACAGTTGAATAAAATAGATATTTATTCATTTTTGTTGATTACCAATATCCCTGGCTTTTTCCTGTTTTTCATCCACTGACTACTTGAATTTCCACCTTCAACTTTCATATAGTTTTCCAAAGTGAAACGCCGTTTTGAGTCCTAGCTAATTTTTTTGCGTTTTAAGATCTGTCGTTGCTTCATTTGATATTATATGACTTGCATGTATGCTTCGTGACGTGTTTCGGAAAAGCTTGTGTGTAAAATTTTTATAAAATGTGATTTTTGAGTTAAAATGAGGGTAGATTTGACCACGATGATTATTTGTTGGTAAACAACCTCGAATTGATATTTTGACGATTTCGATAGGTTCGTATATTAATTTGGACTTTTATGCGTGCTTCACTGGGATACTGCGTGATCAGAACGTGTTTCGACGCATTATGTTGATTGTTGATATTTGATGTTATCTTGATTATTTGAGTTAGCGAGCGGGTTTGTGTGATGTTATTACACTTGTGAGAATGTTTGTTCGGGATACCAAACTTTTAGGGTATAGCAAATCAGTGCATTCATAACTGATTTGGAATATCTGATCTATAGTTGTTGCTGCTGTAAATTTGCAGGTTTCAACATTGAGAATAGCTGATCGCAATTAATAGCATCGCATTTGCGGTGTCAGGATCGCAAATGCAAACATCACTGGGGACTGGGACTTTGCAATTGCAAAGTAAACTTCGGTTTTGCGAACTGAGTTGGGATCGTATTTGCAATCTTAAAGTTGCAGTTACCACACATTGCTTGTAAATCCTGCTTAACTTGAGGAATTCCTCATCATAATTGCATTATTGGGTTCTCACAAACTACTTGTGAGCTTTAACCGTAAAATTTCATCACAAGGTTCAAATTAAGTGCAACGAATCAACTTTCAAACCTTGCCAAAGAATTTGCAGCAGCAATCAGTGTAACTAATAAGATTCAACTTAGGCCTCCATCATAAAAACTAATTACAAAGAAGTCTTGGGTCAGTCTATTACAACTTCTAGCTTTCCTACTCGGCTTAAGAAGATCTAACCTTTCTACAATTTCCTTCTTAATCTGGCCAAAACTACCTCAATATGTACATTCTGATTTTTGAAATTTTCCCGTTCCTTGCCCTCCAAGTATGGAAAATGATTGCTCCCCAGATAGCAGCCACAATTTCCTTTGTGAACTGGTTACAATGCTTCCTTCTGGTCCTTTCCATAATCGTCTGCACTTCCCCAGCTTTAAGCTGCATCCCCAACCAGCTAGATAACTCATTTCGTAGCTGCTTGGCCCAAGCACATTCTGGAAAAGATGGAGGGATGTATTTGCCGTCTGTGCAGTGCATAGACAGCATTCAGCAGAATCAACATGAATATTCAAATGTCTGAGCAGCCAAAGAAGAAATCTATGTTTTGGTTAAGCTATTGCTGTCCAAACTAAGTCATTTATCCCCTCTGCACCTATTCCTTAAGAAACTTGTCTTCTTTTGATGTGTTGGAATACATTTATCAGAGTGCTCAGAAATAATCTGATATCTTTTTCCCCTAGCCTCAGATACATAGTCATTACTTTCTGGTCACTTTATCTTCTTCTCT